GGACAGATCTAGAGAAATATTCATGGGGTGGCATGGAGACTTTAAGGGGTGGCAGAAATATGTGCCATATATCAACATTTGCTTGGAAAAACCCCCAAGTGAAATGTGAATATGTTAGTTAATCATTATATAGAAATATCTAAAAATGGCATTAGAAATCAATATTTTGTTTTATTTACAGATCTTCAGAGATTTTTCCAAATGTATGTCTTTTTTATTTAACATAAACCCATAATTTAATTTAAAATGTAGCCATAATCATTACGTCATTTCCATTTTCTAACATTATATTAATGTGTAAAATTTCACGGCATTTCACACCAAACTGGGGTGACAGCTGGGGTAGCCAGGCATTTTTTAGGGGTGACGATGCAACCCCTCTAGATCCACCTCTGGACAAGACAAAACTTCATGTTTCCATTCTTACAAGTATAAAATTCAAAAGAGAGAAAGACAGAGACAAAAAAAAAACAAATGACACCTGTGCATGTTCCAGTCTTCAACTGTGCATTCCTTTCTGATTAAAACCTCCTTAAAGGAGGTTTGATTTCTAATCCAATGAAACCCTTTTTGAAAAATGTTTCTGTGATATCTGTTTATGACAACTACAGTATGGTTAAGGTTAGGGAAATATTGTGGTTAGGGTTATTATTGCACGTCTGTGATGGGACTCTGCAAAAAGTCACGCTGCACACCCATCCACCACCCTGGTTGCATTGCTACTGTACTTTGTACTGAGCTAAATACTATGATCAGCACAGTGATTTTGTAATTTCCACCTCTTATGTCATCAACAAAATGTGTATCCTACTTGGTGTGTAATAAGATCAGACTCCCAGAAATGCTTTTTTCTTCCTGAAGGTGTTTTTCATTTTTGCTGGCTCTGCACCTCCCTGTAATAGATATTTGAATTCAGACTTTGGCAGCAGCAGCAGCAGTGGCGGCCCTATCATTCTGTCTCACAGTTAGCCAATGTTTGCATGTAATTACAGAGTACATCACACCACACTGCTGGGTGCTTTCCTATTTTAAAGTGGTAACCGTTACCAATATAGTTGCTGGGGTATGAGTGCACCGTCAGCTGAGACTGGCTGCCTAACTGCAGCTCTCCAATGGGTCATGGAGGAAAAAAGCTGGAGGTGAAATGACGTATTTTTAATAAACTATGAAAGCAAAAGCTTGCAGTTATTCATGGAACCAAGATATTTTTAATGCGTTGTACTGTTTGTACACAAGTGCCTGTGCCAGCAAGTTTTGTCATTTAATCCAGTGGATCATTACATAACATGCAGTCGTATTGTTTGCTGTCACACCCTGTAGCATGATGTTCCAGGCAGACCTGTGTCATATCACGTTTTTTAAAGTGTTTGTGCAAAACCAGATAAAGGTGGCATTGGAGGACAGTGTGAGTATTAAGAAGTTTATGAACAAAATGTGGCACATGATTCACTGGGGATGCATCAGTGTGTGGCACGTGTAGGATGGTAAAAGCAGTAGTAGGAGTGTGAAATTTAGAAAATAAAGAAAATAAGAAAATATTTTAAAAAATCGTATTACAATATTTGGTTTAGTGATATTGTATTGATTCTCAAAGACACTGTTGATTTTTGTGTTTAAACCTCCAACAGCTAGATAGCAGTGTTGTAAATGTAAACTGAGGGCTATGATGTTGGTCCTTGAACTGGGTATATAAAGGACGGGGCTTCTGGGTCTGTGAAGTAAAGCTGAAGTGTAAACATGCATTCTATGTAATGACCAGTAGGCAGTTCCATTGGTTGCACACAGGAGCTGATAGTATTGAGTCTAATGGAGAAATTACCTGACTTCTCACTTGATTTATTGGCTCAGTAAACAGTTTTCTAATGAGTTTATGGTCTTAATCTCTGGTTTCTCATATGAATCAAGTTTCTGTTACTGCAACACAACAAGATTATTATTTGTTTAGCAATTCTTTTAAGACTGGACCCTTATTGGCTTTTCTTCGAGGATTTAGAGTAACCTAATTAGCTTGGCAAGATGCCATTTGGTGTGACTTCACACTGTGATTCAATTCAATTCAATT